ATCTGCAGCAGCAAAACACATTCACATCACCTATCACCTTCCTTAGTTTAAATAACCCATAGGATCACTTCTTTAGGCCTTTTGCACAACTCTGTTGTGTAATTATAAGTTCTAACGTTTTAGGATTCCGAGGTTACCGTACGGTACGGTGTAAATCCTCCTGTCTTTTAGGCTATTTGCACAGTCCGACGTTGTGCAAACATAAGTCTTAAGTCTTAAATAATTTGCAGGATTGAAATATCAAATAATCATCACTTCAAAGACATAAAGCCAAACAATAGGATAGTTGGGAGGTCACTGGGGTTTTCCCTAGATCTGTGATATCCCCTACTTTTCTTTCATTTGAATTCCTAAAATAATTGTTCCTATTTTGAGTCATTCTCATTTGATTTTCCCATGTCCAATCGTGAAAACTTAAACTTTGAAATCTTGAAAGCAAAACCACCTGATCTTAATCGAGAGTTTTCTCAAGTGATTTCGATCATTTAAGATATAATTAACTATAGGGGCTTGCCTCTATAGGGAACCAGGAACCCAGATAAAATAAACTCTATCTAATTTCTATGTTAGATAGGGGAACTTGTTGGTCTTTTTATAAAAATATTTCGTAGACCAAACGGATGTCACAAATTGTTTAGTCTAGATGATTGAATCCCGATTAAAAAGTAATATATTTATTCTTCGGGATAAGTGTATTGCTTGTAGTATTGTGTTAAATCATCTAAGCTATTTAAAATGTGAGACTCGTTTGGTCTCACTTATTTTAATAAAAATTAAAAACAAAACGTTACTTCTTTAAAAAAAAAATTATATTTATATTTAAATTATTTTCAAAATCACAAAATCATCACATTTTCAAACTACGAAAGTGAAGGTTGGACAATAAAAAACGGCCGACATGCTCATTTCATCAAACTCAATTATCTTTTTTGATAGAGGGGCGAGTACTTCCTTGGCTCCTATTTTTCTAATTATGAAGGATAGCTACATGATCCTACTCATTACACCCAGTTCCATAGTAGTAGCCAAGAAATGGAGGCTTGTGTGGAAGTTTATTATTGGGTCGTTAGATATTCTAATTGTCTTGGGGGTTCATTCGATATTTTTGTTTCAGATTTCTTTCTTATTTTTGCCTGTTTTCTCGAATTGCTTTCCAAGTTGTCTTAGATGCTTTTTTGACAGCAAGTGTTCACCTTGTCCATTTAAGGAAATCGTTGAGTAAACAACATGAGCTCCTGAAGTGGAAGAAATGAAATATGCCATTTGTATTTTTAATTTTTTTCTTTGTGCTTTAACTTTCTGCTGGATTTTCTTGCAAATGCTTCAGTATCATTGTTTGAGCAATAATATACAATATACAATATACGTTGCTATTCTGAGCAATTGTGTCTTGACCAGGTTCGACGCCCTTGATGACTATAAACGTAATCAGTTTTCTTTAGAGCGAGAAAATCTCGAGGCAAGTAAAATTTTTACATTTTTATTGCTTAATGCTTACAGGGACCATAAAAGCAATTTTCTTTAACAATATTTTGCTGCTTTCAACATTTGATCCTTATAATAAGATTAAGTAGGAAACCAGAGGTAAGGTTGACAATAATTTAGGAGCCTTTTGGGAGTACTTTTATTCTTGTTTTTTCTTTTCTTTTTTAATTTTGTTTTGTTTATATTTTTAATTGAAATAAAATATGATTAGTACAACTCTTTTAGTTATTTTTAAGAGCACTAAAAAAACTTTTTAAATGCTTGTTTTAAAAACAAGTTTATTTATTTATTTTAAATAGTAAATAAAAAACATGAAGAAAAAGCACCAAGCAAACATGTTTTAAAAATAAAACCAAAAAATAAAAAATGATCCCAAACAAACCCTTAAATTTTTTTTTCCGTGTTGATGAACATAAACTTTGTGATTTTTATTAGATTATTTTGCTATTTTTGATGGGTGCCTTGTGCATATTAAATTTCATTGTTGCTTTTTTTTCTCATGATTGTTGCATCATTGTAAGAGCAAGTTTGCTTGATCTTGCTATTTTGATCTTAGTATAAAGTTAATGTCTTTATATTTGAATTCCATAACCAGTTTGTAGAAACGTGATTGCTATTTTTTTTATTTTCTGGTTGATTTTGTCTCTTTTTAAGTTTTCATAGCTGACATAATCCTGTAGTTGACCTTCATTTGTCTTGTAACCCATTTTGATCTCCCACTACAAAAATGATGGCCAATAGTCACAATATCGCATAGGTCTAGTTTAAAATTCATCTTACAAACCAAAAACCAAGACATGTCACCCAAATGCGTTAGAAATGCCAAAAAATCCAGAAAGATTGTGCCATTAAACTGCTGTGTAGTAAATATGCTAGAAAAATGAGCATGGCATCGAAAAGTTTGGATTGAAACATCTCAGCTAATGGATCTCATTCAAACATCTTTTGTTTTGCAAAATAGATTACACTGGCATATATGGAATGTTAAAAATATGCAAGTAGATGCCCATATTTCCCTATTTACTGCAATAAGAAGAAATGAAAATTTCACCCACACAAGGTGATAGCATGAAATTCAAGATGCATGAGAAGCAGTAAATTATATAAGAATATAAATGTGTGATATATATATATATAAGCCTAACCCTAATATATATTAAGTTCCGCTCATGCGGGTCTTAGGGTTTGTGGCGGGAGAATCGAGTCAGAGCTCTCGTGGCGCGTCTTATCCGAAGGATGAGGTCTCCGCCTCTGCCATCGTTTCGTTTTCGGCGATCATCGACAATGACGTGAGCGTCGACCTCGTCGAACTGCGATCCGCGGCTTCTGCTTCGGCGTCCAGCTCCGCTGTCTGCGCCAGTGCTTCTCAAGCCCGATCTTCTGCTTTGTTTCTGTGCCTTTCTCTCCAGCCCGATGCAAATTTCTCGCTACAGGTGACAGCTGGTTGTTCTGATGGCACTTCCTTCTTCTTTTACTGAACCGACAAAGGCTTCCTTTGCCCACGTGGTATGAGTATGAATCCCTCAGGTGGAGTCCGCGGTGATATTCCCCTCAAACTATAAAGAATGTCATGAGGGTACAGATGATTGTCCTTTTATTAAGAAGGAAAGTAGGAAATATATGAAAAAGAAGCAATCTTTTTTTTTTCTTTTCTCTGACTCAGAAATTTCTACCATGACAGAAAAATTCAAGTTTGCTCTCATTGGAAAATTTCAGTGGGGACACCCACTTATGGATGTTATCAAAAAGAACGTAGTTGATCTTAAGTCAGTAGGCAAGTGGAAGGTGGGATTTATGGATGGGAGACATGTGTTGATCCAACTAACAATGGCTGAAGACTACACCAGAATTTTTTCCAAGAAATATCTTAATATCGCAGGAAAAACTATGAAGTTATTCAAGTGGTCTCCTGATTTTGACCCAAATCATGAAACTCCCACTGTACCGGTATGGTTTAGTTTACCTGGTCTCATTTAATCATCAGGTTCTCTACTCTATTGGAGCCATAATTGGGAATCCTATGAAGCTAGATATACCCACCTTCAATCTAACCAGACCCTCGGTGGCCAAAATACTTGTGGAGAGGGATATTACTTTACCGGATGTTACTAAAGTCTGGTTGGGCACAACCCACAATGGATATTGACAACAAATCATCTTGGAACACAGACCCCTATATTGTACTCACTATAATATGTTTGGTCATATCCTTAATAAATTCTACAAGCTCTATCCTAATTTGAAAACTAAGATTCAAGTGAATAAGGATGGGTCTAACCCCACTGCTCTGGACATTTTAGTTCCACCTAGGAAGGATACTACCAGATAGGTGGTGTCTGTTACCCCTGAGGACCCTCCTCATGACACTGTTGTTACTTTTACTGCGAGTGATGTGGTGTCGCACTCAAACCCCATAGAAAACAATACACAATACTGATGGACTATTGCCTATAAATGAAAGTGTTCAGAGTGATAATCAGGAGAGTCTCGCAGCTCCACTTCTTCAGGAAGTATCCGGTGTAGAGGCAACTCATACTTAACATATGCTAGAAACTATTGTGGGTACTATGGATGATATTCCTTCTGTTTCAACTCTACCACCCCATCAGATTGATTCTTCGGAAGAGGAATGACTGGTCTATTCAAGGAGGAAGAAGAAGAATGGAGGCAGACTTCAGCTCGGAAATCTATTGGATGATACATCGGTTACTTTTGGCAATGGCAATCACCTTACCAACTTATTGGCTTGCTCCTTTTCTAGAACTAGAGGCAGAGGCAAGACCAAATTGGGTCGCTCTCTAGCCACCTGATACTATGTATTTAGACATTGTTAGGTTTTTATGTAAGTATCTAATGTATTTTTCTGTTTTTTCTAGTTTTGGAACTATTTGTGGTTTTTTTGTGGGCAGGGAGTCATGTTTGGGTCCTCCCACACTTTGTATCTGTATCTTTCTTTCTACTTAATATATTAGTCTCTTTGGGCTTTCAAAAAATATATATATAAGCTTAACCCTAGCAACGTTACGACTTCGCTCGTCTCGCGCTCGATTCCTTTCGTCTTCGCTCCGAGACGTTACGGCTTTGCGCGCTCGTTTCAATTCGTCTTCCCCGCTTCTGGCTCTGAGACGTGTCTCCTTGCGTCTTCGCTCTGCGGCCCGTCTCTCCTCGCTTTGCAGCTGCTCTGTGGCTCGTTTCACGTCTTTTCTCGCTCTGCGGCTCCCTCTCGCGGGTACAGCTCGCGATTTCTGTGGCTTCTCTGCGGTCTACGCCCGTCCCGTCTCACAGCGTCCTCTCTTCTTTCTTTCGAAGCTTTTTCCCCTCATTGAGCAGGGTTGCTTTCTTCTCTGAAGGCCGCACCTACCTTTGAGGATGGTTTCAGACATATCGTATGCAGCTGCCCTTGCGGGTTTCCTCACCTCAGACACACCTAAATCGCCATTTTTTCCTTCTTCGTTTGAGTGGGCGGAATACATCAAGAAACTTGTTAGGAAGAATGAGAAGTCTGTCATAATTTTTACAGAAGTTGAAGGTATTCAACTTGCTTCCTCCTGTCGTCTGAATTTGGTTAGAAAATTTCTATATGGTCATCCCAAAATGGAGCTCATTCGCAAAGAATTTGAACTTATGCACCTTGTTGGAGAGTTAAAAATTGGACTATTTGATGGGAGACACATTCTTATAAAAATTAGTAATGAAGATTATTACATCCGCTTAAATGTCAGAAGGATAATATGGATTGATAACAGAACAATAAAGATTCTTAAATAGTCTGCGAATTTTGACCACAGACGGAACTGCCAATCATTCCAGTTTGGATTCGGCTCTCTGGTCTAAAATTTCATTATTTTTCTCAAAAAGTATTCTACTTTACTGTCTTAGCTTATGGGAATCCACTCAAGACAGACATTCCTACTTTTAATATTTCCCGTCCATCTGAAGTCAGTGTCTTCTGAGGAAATCTGGTTGGGCACACAACACCAAGGATATTGGCAGAAGGTACAGATTGAGACTTTTCCGTCGTATTGTTCGAACTATCGTATGTTCGGACACTCCAGTTCTCAATGTCATCATTTATACCCCCACCTTAAACCAAAAAAGCAAACTGCTCCGCTAGAGGCTGTGATTTCATCTGCTCCTGATCAACTCCAAGTTTTTGAGGATACCCCGGAAGACGTCACTTTTCCCGTAGGCAATATGTCGACCATTCAGTCCCCACTTGTAGCTCCCTCTTCTTTGGAACATTCTATCGTGGGGGGAGAGAGAGATTCTTCAGACCCCGTCTGCCTTAGAACTTATCACCAAAAATACAGGTGGAAATACTTTTATTGTTTTACGACTGTCTCATCAGGTCCAGAAAGATGTTAGTGTTACTTAGACTCATGGGGATCATGATGTGCAACGACCTACAACTGTCTGATCACATTTGGAATCTACTAATCAAATGAGTCAATCATCGGATGAGGAATGGCAAATCAACACATCCAGGAGGAAGAAGAAAAATGAAAATCTACTTGAGCTCAGGAATCTGATGGATGATATTTTTGTTACTACGGGCTCTGTTAGTCGGCTCACTTCTGAAAACTAGAGACAGGAGGACTAAAGTGGGACGTCCCTAGTACATTTGTGTCCTTTTGTTGCTTTTTGGTTTTCTTTTTATTCCTTTAAGTATCTTTGTTTTATTTGAGCTTGTCTTTGTTTTTTTGTATGAGTTAGACTTTTCAGACTCTCTCACGCAACATTTCTGTATTTTTTCCGTATTAATAGATTTGCCCTCGGGTTTTGTCTAAAAAAAATATTTTGAAAGCCCAAGAAGGCTAAAATATTAAGTAGAAAAAAAGATACAAATACAAAGTGTGGGAGGACCCAAACATGGCATCCTGCTCACTAAAAAATCACAAATAGTTCCAAAACTAGAAAAAATAGAAAAATATATTATATACTTAAATAAAAAATCTAACAGTATCGAAATACATA